ATATTACAATGATATAAATAAATGCATAGGATAAGATGATACAATTTCGAACAAAATAAGATTTGAATATAATTTTTGAGTTTGGGAACGTGATCTCTTATAGCGGAAAAAATATTTTATAGCAGTTTCTTGGATTGCCTTACAAAGATATAGAACATGGAATATGAACTGCGCCATTAGTATCTAAACAGTACCTATATAAAATGTAGTCCATATCTCTTAAATCACTTCTAGCCTCACAATTTAAAATTTTTTTGTAATTGATGTTTCATCAAAAGGTATCATTTGATACACAATTCAAAATCGCGGGACCAAAAACAGGCGAAAGAAATACTGATTTTGCTGTCACGCTTTGACAGAAAAATTTTACATTTATGCCCGTTTCCACCAATGTAGATTAACTTTAATCTCGATCCAATTTACTCTTCATTTTTTTTCTAATCTTTAGGACAAGAAGAAGAGAGAAAGAAGGACAAGAAGAGTAAGTTGAGCTAAGATTAAAATTAATCTATATTGGTGAAAATGGGCATTAGAATTAAATGAGATGAATACAGGTCACTATTGTTTTTCAATTTCTCATATCATAGGAACGTACATAGATATATGCACAAATACAGTTCGTTTGTTATAAAGATCTCTTTCAGTTTAACTAATTTTACTTTCCTATCCGTAATTGTCGTACGTCTAGATAGCCAAATGCTTATGAGGTTGCCGTCATGTTTATGACAGCATCATATAATGCTGTCATATTGCCTACAACGCAAGATAACATTGACGCAGCTATCTTGCTGTTAAACTGCTGGCAATACGTATACACATTGTTGTCTGCATGTTGCTACAATGTCGGCATATTCGAAATCGTTAAAGACAAATCTACGGCAAGTTGTCAGCAATCACAGATTTATATGATTTTGTTGAAACACGCTTTGCTATCTGGGATTGCCTGATAATATTGTATTATTGTTTTTTCGATGTATTAATTTATTAAGACCATTACACGTACAAAAATTTTAGTCTTAACATTTTAAAACGCTCTAATTCTAATGCTGAAGTCCCATGAGGCGTATTTGCCGCGTATCGCGTAACCAATCAGTAATCAATAAGACCAAGTAAGACACGAAACCACAGCAGCGGATCGCTTCTGATTGGTTACACGGTTATACGATACGAGGCAAATACGCCTCATGGGACTTCAGCATTAAGG